CCTGTGTGCCCTTGGGAGAGTGACCCCTGCTGCCAGCTTCATCCAGCCCAGGAGCAGCTCTTCTCCCACCTTTGCCACCTTCCCAGGATGACACACCAGCTGCCTGCACCCCAGCTCCAGCCAGGCAGCATCTTCTCAGGGCCACTTTGCAGCCCCTTCTTGGAGAACTTTTGACATCTGCATGTCAAAGTACTATGCTGTGCTAAGTACTGGAATTACCAATATCTCCACATCAAATCAGACGTGCTGAGAGCAGTCCCAGCCCAGTCCTGGGGATTGCTTCCTCTGGTCATTCTTTATAGCCAAGAAAGCATGTTTTCAGCCTCAGCTTTACCTTTCAGGCTCTCTGCCTTCCTGCACCACGATGCTCAGCTGGAGCCAGGCAGGCTGAGACGCGCAGCCAGGAGTTGCCTCTCACTAGTTTAACCCAGGCAGCAATGTGGGTCAGGAGAGGGCTTCCCAGGGCCCACCAGAGGCAATGTCTGCTCTGTGTCCAGGCAGTCTCGGCGCCCGTGTTTACCACCACTGTAAGGCCGTGGGGTCATGAGAACTTGTACGACTTTATTGGGGTCTGACAGAGTCCTGAGGAATCCCAGATCCAGGGTGGGTTTGGGCTGGAAGGAGGCTGGGAGCCCACCTCTGTGCTCCCCCGTGGGCTCCCACCACCTCCTCCCACTGAGCAGGGCTGTCCAGCACCCACTGCAGAGGGGTTGGGGGGCAGGAAAGCTTGGAGTAGCCCAGGGCGCTGGCAGAGGAGGGGCAGGGATGTGGTTTGGCAGGGCAGTGCTCTTGCCTTGCTTGCCTCCCACTGAGCAGGGCTAGCAAAGGCCCCTGTGGCTGGAACCCAGTGCCCTGTCTGGGGTCCCTGAGACAGAAGCAGCTCAGGAGCCCACTGGTCCTCAGCTGAAAGCATGGGGCAGACATGCTGGAAGGGTCTCCCCTTCTTGCTCTGGGGGAGATGAACGCCCCCAGCTCCCCTCCAGCAGCAGTAAACAACTTGGCTCCAGCTCTGCTTTTAAACCACCGAGGTTCAGGCATCTGCAGTTACCCCCAGAAGGTGTCCAGTGGCACCTGAGCTGCTCCTGACATGGCAAACTCTGGCTGCCTGAAATAGCTTGGGCTTGTGGCAGGGCAGAGCTGCAGCAGCCCCAGATCTATCACCCGGAATGGGGCTAGGCTGGCAGCGCTGTCTGGCTCTGCCTGCTCTGGGGGGACTGTGGGGCTCACCCAGACCTGGGAACCCCCCAACACCAGCAGCAGGACAGAGCTTGAGGGGGCAGTTGGACACAGGAAGGCAAGGCAGCAAGTCCCTGCCTGCGCTGGATATGTCCAAGGATCCTGCAGGGAGGCGAAAGGAAAAGGGGTTGTCTCCGAAACTCTGCTGGGCTGAGCATAGCTTCCTTGCTGGAAAGCCAAAAATAGTCTAGGGATTTCATCCAAAGTGCAGCCGAATACCTAGGAGGCTATAGGACAGACCCAGAGCACTGTGGCTTTGCCAAGGCGTTATCAGACCTTGGAAAGGCAGTGGCCATAGCTGAACCATCCAATAACTCTGTTAGCTCTGGACATCTTACCATGCCAAAGGTGCCAGAGGAACTGGGCTGGTTGGCGAGGGAACACCCCACCCCGGCAGAGCTGGGGAGGAGCTGCGCACTGCCATGGCCAGTCCTTGGTCTGTGGCAGAGGTTCAGCTCAGTGGATGGAGACAGCAGCAGGACAGAGGATTTTTCCAGTTTTTTGTGGCCTGGCCCAAGGGCTATCTGGAAAACCCCTGGATGGCTCTGCCATCCCTGCAGTGCCAGACACCTCATAGGCAGTGCCATTCTCCATGGGGCTGCTGCTGCCCACGTTGGGCAACACCCAGCTGCTGCTGGCTAAGCTGGCAAAGTGCTGGGAGATCGGAAAGGCCATGCCCTTCCAAGGGGCCAGTTGCTCACAGGGCAGCATCTCCGTGCTGGCTTATCTCCCCATTCCTGGGGGTCTCGCTCCCTCCTCCAGCACTTCTATGGGCAGTTATTCCCGGTAACATCTTGGAGTCACCTTCAATCATGCCTTTGCATGCTGACATTTATAGAGCTCTTCCAGTGGCTGATGGATTCAGTAGTGTGTATCTCTGCCCAGCTCCAGCCTGTGTTTATGCCTTACCCTCTGTGGGGTCTTTCGCTGTCCCGGTGCGTGGTGAGGGCTCAAGGCGAAGCTGCAGGTTTGCTGCCAACAGCTTTCAGTTTCTGGGCAGGGAGACCCATCCTGGCAGAGCCCGGTTGTATCGTCTTCTGTCTAATGCCCTGCCCGCCAAGCTAATCCTCCCCTGGTCTCTCCCAGACATTTCTGCTTCTCAAATTTCTCCCTCTTGGGTGGAGGAGCTGCAGGGCTGCCAAATCTTGCAATACTCAGGCTATTTCTTAAAGCCCCAGCTCCCGAAATGGTGGGAAAACTGGAGGCTCCCGCCTTCCAGTGGCTTTTATTTATTTAAGGAGTTTCTCAACCTCTTGCTTGTGCAGAAGAATCAGGGACCAGGAGCCTACAGCCCATGCCGGGATGCAGAGGATGGGCACACAACCCAGGTGGACCCAGGCTGTGGAGCAGTGGCCATGGCCATTCTGTGCCCAAGGACACTGAGACCTGCTGGGCAGCCATCAAAAAATCCCTCTGGGGGTCACTCAGTGTCCATCACACACCCTTGTGAACCAGGGACAAGAGAGATGCTTAATGGAAAGGTAGAGCCAGGGCTGGGATGAGGCTTGGGCAGAGTATCGAGCACCCAGCCCCCGGGCAGTGCTGGGGCCCAATGCCCCTGAGGACTGCACATGCCCCCTGCTCACCCAGCAGCCTTTCCAGCTGCAGGAAAACCCCTCTCCCCTCACCATCACCCAGCCTAGCAGCTCTCCGTGCAGGCCAGCCCAGGGTGGTGGATCCTCTGGAACAGTCCCAAGCTGAACATACGACACCTGTGAACGCATTTCCTCCAGGGAGTTACTTTGGGCATGGCACCTTGGGATGGATCCCCCTTCTGCAAGCACTATGAGAGCATCCCGCCAGAGGCAGGCATCACTCACAGGCACCCGGCTTGAGGAACCCAGAGCTCTGCTCTGGGAAGGTCAGTGCAGCCAAGCGATACTTCAGTGCTCAGCACACCACCTGTCCGGAGCTGAGTGGGACCCTAAAAGAAGTGGGTATCAAAAATGGTAAAAAAATAACCTATTCTATTAATTATCATTAGCTTAGACAAAATATTTACCAACACACTTGCTTAAAAGGTTGAGAGCTTTAAGATACCCAACAAAGCACAAACTAGTTTAATCACTCAAAACGAGGAGGCAAAAGTCCTGCAGAACCCCAGATCTCCTGTGTGAGGTGCACAAAGCTCTCCAGTCTCGCCCAGTGCCGAAATTCCTGGACTGTCCCCAAGGCACACAACCTAGGACCCTCCTGTCATTGCCTCCATTTGGAGCGGTCTGGAGGCATCCTGAGGACCCCTGGTCAGCCTGGGGATCTCGGACCACCTGGCCAAGGAACATAAGCCTCAGCTTCTCCAGTGGGGTCACAGCCCATGCCAGTGGCAGGCGATGGGCTGGGCCATGACCCAAAGGGGATGGAGACCACCCTCCTCGCTGCATGTTGCCAGGGTGGCTGGGCCAGGCAGGCCCCCTCCTCCCACCAACACCCCCAGACCCCATTTCCCTTCCCCATCTGGCATCTGTCAAAAGAGCTCAGCACTGGGCACAGACAGAAAGGTGTGATGCTGGGAGCTGGGCCATGCAGGAGTAAGAAGGGGACAGAAGGATCGAGCAGAACTGTTTTTATTGGAGGTGTCAAGAGCAGGAACAATAACAAACCTACGGCTCCCCTCCTCAAGTGCCATCCTCCCCCTCCCACCACCACCGGGGCAGTCAGTGTCACATGTGCGTGCTACAAGACAACGGCAAGGCTTACACTTCGCGTCAGCCAGAAGCCTGACAGAGCTGCCAGCATCCCGGGCAGTGCCACCGCCCCCTCCTTGGCGACTGCGAGCTCAGCTTGGCCCCGCCAGAGGCAGGGTAGGACCTTCACCTTCCCCCCTCTGAGGAGGGGTGAGCTTTGCGTGAGAGGAGGTTTTCGTTAAGGGAAGGACAGGAGCGCAGCTCCACCGAAGTGCCAGGGAACACGACCTGGGCTGCAGCTCCCAGCGGGACATCTCGGAGGACCCTGGCAGAGAGCAAGGCGTGCAGCCTGAGCAGAGCTGCAGCAGCCACAGGCAAGAAATGGCATCGCTAAGCCCCAAAGGGCTTTGCTGCCCCCTCTCTTCCACACAAACCAAACCGAAAGGGAGAGGGGTCAGAAGACAAACCAGGAGGGGAGGTGAAGCAGGTCTGGAACGGCGTTCGGCTCTGGCTCACTTCCCAGCCCGCCGCTCCTCCTGGCGCTTGGTGAGGATGTATTTGAAGAACTCGTACACGGACCAGGCGATCGCTGTTGAGGGCATCTGATAAATGACTCTCGCCTGGACCCCTCTGAAGTAGGCGGTCACTCCGCCCACTTGGTACACCGTCCTGAAGGCATTGGCCATGCCTGTGATGTGTCCACTGATGTTGGAGCTCAAGGCCAGGGACTCCTGGGTGTTGAGCAATGTTTTGCAAACGTCCAAAGGCGTAGTGGCAGCAGCAGCGACAGCCCCTGCGCAGGCTCCGGAGACCACGTGGGAGCCTGGGTTGTACTGTCTGTGGGGGTTGAGCTGCTCTTGCAAGAACTCGTAGGTCATGAAGTGAATGGCTTGGAAGGGGATGTTCATGGTGAGCTGGGTGGTGTAGCTGCGGTAGAAAGCTCCGGCCCCTTCGTTGCGCCACACAGCCCGCACACAGTCCGTCACACGCTGGTAAGGCGAGTTGTACATCTGCATCCTCTGTTTGACCACTTGGGATGGAGGGCAGCAGCCAGCAGCAGCACCAGCCAGGACCCAGGCGTGGAGGGGAAGAGGAGAGAGAAAGGGTAAGCACGAAGCCAGGCTTCCTCCAAGCGCCCAGAGTTTAGTCATGCTGCCTTAAGAGCTAGTGACGGACAGCTCAGACCGGCAGTGCCCTGCGTGTCCCCAGGCGGGACTGCAGCCATGTAGACCTGCCGAGGCATCACTGTCACACAAACATCACCACCTGCAAACCTCACAGCTGCCGCAGCCCCACAGAACATCCCGATACCCAGGCACACTCCAGATCCACCCTCGCTCCCAAGTGACTGACGTCTCTCCATCCATTGCCGCAGAGCTATCGCACAGTCCGGACAACACCCTCCGCATTTATTCTTATTTCCCAGACAGCTCTCCATCTGAACGAGCCTGTCCCTCAGAATAACCGTGGCACGTGGCAGAGCCCACCAGCCAGGAATCATTAGCGGCCGCTGCCGAAACGCAGCTGCTCCAGGGCAAGAACCAGACACCAATCCCTAACACACCCAAGACCGGGGCAGGGGAGCCCGGAGCGCAGCCTGACGCTGTCCTGCCTGCCCCTACCTCAACGTGACCACAAGGAGCTAAAACCAATGCAAATACAAACTACTGCAGTCATGGCCAGATGAGGAATGACAACGGTCTGGCCATGCAGCTGCCGGCTCCTCAGGGTCCCCGCCAGGCAGCAGGCAGGCAGGAGCCTTGGTGGGCCCAGATCAGCTGGAGCCTGCACTGTCACGAGCCCTCCAATTTTAAGAGGAAAAAATATGTTCATGACTGGCCTTTCCTTGTTATTCTTCCTTCTTCCATCACGTTCACAGACTTTAATTACAAACTCCCTCTGCCTTCTTCATACATACCAGGCTGAACAAAATCAGTATCTTCCAGACATTCCACAACACATACTGCAGCTTCCTGAGATCTCACCATAGTAATGCCCGATTTCCACACACCTGGAATGACTTCAACAGTACAGATCGCATCTCTCTTGCCTTCTCTCCTGCTCCAGGTAACTGTCACCAGTGAAAGGCCAGTGCCCTCCCAGCTCCTCCTAGGCTGGGGTTTGCTGTGCTCCCCAGAATTAATCTCTTCTACCTACCGCCTCTGTACTGGGCAGCCACAGGTCTCCCTAACTGGAGCCGCAGCCACTGGCCCCCACAAGATCCTTTCAGTCAGGCGAGTAATGAGGAAAGCGCCCTCTATG